TATCCACGCCAGTAAATTAAGAACATAAATCCAGTAGCCCAAACAAGATGTCCAAATAAGAACATCCATGCCCAGACCGATAAACTATTCATACCAAAAGGATTATACCCATTGATAAGTTGTGAAGAGTTTAACCATAAATAATCTCTTAGCCAACCCATCAAGTAAGTGGAAGATTCATTAAACTGTGAAACGTTCCCCTGCCATAATGTGATGTGCTTCCAATGCCAATAAAAAGTAACCCATCCAATAGTATTTAACATCCCAAAAAAAACCCCAAAAAAAAAAAAAAAAAAAAAAGAAGAAGAAGAAGAAGTCCAAACTAACGCAAAAAAGGCCGGCGTTCATAAACTCGATCTCACCACGCGATATGCAGCAAGGATCATTGAAGTGGGAACCACGAGAGGACGTCCCCGGTCACTCGCTTCTGCGTGAGTTCCACGCGCTCATCGGAAACCAGTGGCATTCGGCAGAGAGGGCAGTTGAAGTTGAGGTGCTCGAGCCATCCATCGAAGCATTCCTTGTGAAAGACGTGGCGGCAGGCTAACTTACGCACGTGGTCTCCTTTACCCAGCTGGTTCAAGCACACCACACAATTCAAATCGGCACCCTCACAGCCGTTGAATTGATTCGTATAGGAAAACACACGATTCAGATTCAATTGCTCGCAGAGGAAAATAAGGCCGGCCAGACCAGACCCAACGACGTCGTAAGAAGAATTTTCGAACTGCTGAGTCGAGTCGAACCGGGGTAAAATGAACCCCAGGTTGTGCAAAATAGTGAACAGAAGGGACTGAAGATAACGTACGGTTTTTCCGATGAGAACAATGAAGAGTAATAGGATTGATTCTGATGATACGTCGGAGAGCTGGCTCTGTAAACCCATTATCTTGAAAAAGCTTAAAGGTTCACGCAAAATAATTGGGTGTGTATAGATTATATAATATAGATGTACATGGAACGGACGGTGTAATAGTTTTGTTGTTTCTCGTGGGTTGGTGTGGTGTCGAGGGGCGTGGGTGGGTTACGTGGATAGAGGGAAGGGAGACAGGTAATCACACAATAGTTTATAGGTGTGAAAATCTGGGGTATGTGTTCAAAGGAGGAAACGGCAGTATGATGTGTGGCTGTTTTAAAGGAGGCCTAAAGAGTGGGAGATTTTTGCTGCTATAAAAGCCATGTGGGGTACGGTATGCTTAGGTTGCAAAATGAGCCGAGGCGAGTTGACTCGACTCGCTCGATTTATCTACTGCATGTTGGGCTTGGTGAGACTTATGAGCTCTGTCATCGATGAGGCGAGTCAAGCATGCTCGAGAGTTATTCGCAATTCGTTAATTTTTTTGTTGAAAATTGCACTTTTACTATGAGAAGTTCGAATGCATAAATTTGTAAGAAAAATGCAAACATAGGAGAAGTTCGGTCATTTACAATATGTGGAGGAAGCTAAAATTGTATACGAATAAATATTTCGCGAGTAATTTTTAAAAAAAAAAATAATAATAAATATAAAAGTTAATTTACCAAAAAGAAAAAAATCATGAATGACATAATTATTGAAAATCTTCAACGATTGTACTAGTCAACTTATAATTATCTTTGGCTCGCAAAATCGAATCGCTTGGCTCATGCCCACATAAGGATGAGAGTCGAGTCACCGAGCGGCCCCCCTCATTTTCCACCCCGAGTTATAGTTTTGGATATGCATATTGTTAGTTTGTCAACCGTGAAGGATACACATGTTGTTTCCCTCTATGAATACTATATGACTCGTTCCTCTAGAAGACAAATCAACTCAACAATTGTGAACTCTTAATGATAATCGTTGGAATTTATGAGTAAATAATATTAAAATGTGTGAAAGGGAATAGGTCTTCAATGAATGCTATAACTAGGCACCACATTTCAAATACAAAGAGTGTATATTAAATAAACTTTATTTTTTCGATTGGACACAACTATTCAAAGATGTGCATAATGAATAGTCTTGAACTTCGTATAGGGTGCGATTTTAATCATCCAATCATGTTTCAATGTGAAATGGTGTAATCCAATTATTAAAATAAAATTATGCAAAAAGTGCGACACTTGAAAAAAGACAGGGTTATATATATATGGCCTTCCTAATTTCATTTTCTTCGCTCGAAATCAATTTGAAACAATTATTTTCTAATGCTTTTTCTCTAAATTATTTTAAAATATTTTTTTTAATTATTTTGAGTACTTTTCTAATACTGGCCTTCATTGGAAGATTAGTTGTGTTACTTCCCACCCTATTTCATTAAGATGACAATGATTATAGGTTAAAATTTTAGTTAAGTATATCGATTATAGTATTTTATTATTTAATATTTTGAAGTTAAATATTGAATATATAAAAGTAAATAAATAATATTTATACGGCATTTCTGTAGCACTTCACTTTCGTTTTCGTGCAACCTAGTCCGCCCTCATGGGGCTGCCCAAGTCCAAAAAAATAATTTGTATGAATTTTTTCCATATACAATAGTCCAGTCTAAAAAAGTTTCTCTTTAATCCTAAACAAATTAATTTGAAATTCTAGTCCCCACCCCACGAACAATTATTAGGAAATAATCGAGTTAGAGGTGTAGCTATGAGTTCTACAGATGGTCTGATGAGAGGAATGTAAGTAATTGACACAGGAGCCCCTACCACTCCTAACTGACTAACATATGCCACCACCATTTCCAAATTTGTAACATTTCCTGTCCAAGTTAAAATAAACAATTCAACAATATTTTTCTGACATTTAATTTTACTTTTTACAACCCAAAAAAATTCAATAAAATGATTTAAATTGAAGTAACATACATGAAATAACATTTCAAGTGAATCTACATCCAATAAGACCATACAAAACGAATTTCTATATTAGTAAATTTGTAATCGTAATTCATATCACAATTTTGTCGTCAAATCATAAACGTATAAAAAGAATATTTAAATTTTATATATCCTCTTGCTTAGTTAAGTCTCTCAATTAGCACCTCTTAAATAGTATATTGTGCATGTTATTTTTATTTTATCCTTTTAAAAATAAATTGAAAGCAATATTACGTTTATAGTTTATTCTAATTTGACTACTCACTATATTATTTAAATCGAAGATACAGTAGTCTCTACTTATCAAGTTTAACGATGCCAACTAGTGTACCATGAATATCTAAAGGTCCCAGTATCACCAACTCTTGACGTCTTTGCTTCGGTCCTTGACTTGCAAGCCAATTTGAGATACAACAGTGTTGTGATATGTGTAAGACCGTCCCAAATAGCTTGCATTTGAACTAATGCAAAAACAATTTTTACTCATTTATCTGTTGCTTATTCTATCGCGTAATTTATAATGAAACCCAAACAAGCACTCAAAGTACTTCGCAGGGTGAATTTGTGTCTCGTGTGATCAACAACATAATACTTGGTTTTATTCTTTTATTTTCTTTTTTCAACTATTAATATTCTGATTATATTAATGAACCCAAGTAACTACTTAGACCAAATAAAATAAAATAAAATAAAAAATTGCAGGGGAAGAGCGTGGAACTCTGTAGACCTTTATTTCTGGCCCTTCTCAACGATACCAACACCACAATTTCCTATAATAGAGTTGGAAGCAAACTTTTAGGGTCTGTTTAGGCCCGATTTTTTCACCCAAAAAATTATTTTTTGGTCATTATTTCACTATTTCAACCGTCATATTTGATTTCTTCTCTTACAGGTGGACCCCACTTTTCTCCTAACGATCTCAAAATCACTTCCAAACAGGCTCTAGTCACATTTTGGAGCTTTGTCAATTAATGTAGTCATCATCACAAGACTCTTTATCCTTATCCCATCTTTCACGTGTTTGATGTAATGGATTGGACTATACTATGTCGTGCTTAAAAAATAAATGAAATTAAAAAAATATATATATATATTTTATTATATTTTATTGCGTTCCAGACATTCTTTTATGTTGAAAATGTTATTTTGTTCTATACGATAAAGAAGATGCTACATGTATATTAACTTGTACATAAGGGTGTCCATATGGACACTCGGCGCCTCGACATTGGTCAAGGCACCTGTCACGCTCGGGCCCGGCCGATGCGTTGGGTGTCCATTATGTACAAGCTAATGTACAATAAGAATTATCCATACAGTAAATATCGTCTATGTACTTTACCGATTGAAAACTTGTTGCATACAAAATTATGTCGCAACTGAATTTATTTTTGATAATCGAAACTTATTTTACTAACTCACATAATTTGTATCCTGTTGGAATCAAGCTATCCAATTAAATTTTTTGATTTGTTAATTTAAAAGGGACTTGATAGCAAATACAAATATAAAACTTCGGTAACATAGACAGACCCATTTTATTTAATATAATGTCACAAATACGTTGTACGTTCTAAATATATAGCATTACACAAATATGTGTGCTTATGCGAAGTATGTGCGTAATTCACATTTTTCAATTTTTAATATTATTTTAAATTAATTAATAAATAAAATAATGTATTCTTTAAACTATATATATATTCTTCAAATTTCCAAAAAAAAAACAAAAAAAAAGTTGCTCAAAATCATAAATACTACAATTACTTGAACTTTATACATATTCTTTAAATTTTTAAACAATTATTTGATAATCAATTCCTATAATTAAATTAGACTCAAACACAGACTTAGAAAACCAAATATATTGTTTAACTCTTTATTGGATTCCAATTCAAATTCCTCTTTATCAAAGTCATCTTCTTTGTCATCCAATGAAAAATCATTTTCATTGGACTTACTTATTTCAACTCCAAAATTTTTATTACCTCTTGTAAAATGGTAAGACATAATCAACGGTCCAAAATTAATTAATACTAGCATCACTTGCCAGTAAAATTAGAGAAAGTTCAAAAAAGAAGGCGGCTCAAACTCGACGTACAACGTATTTGATGTTTATTGGGCTCAATTTACTCCTTTTAAGTTACAAAATAGGCTAGGATTTGTTAAGATATTTTTGACACAATTTGTAATACAAATATGCAGTCAATGAAATGAGTTGGCCGCATTATTACGCACATATCCTATACGTGAGGTGTTTTGAAAATGCATCAAACATGTACGAATATATGCGAAATATATACGTGCATTTAGAACACTAAATACTCCTTTGATAAGAGAACATATAAAATCACTTACAAATTTCTAATAAATGTAGTAGAAAACTGATTCCTTTGTTTTCTTTTTTATTTATGTTTACTTTTCTTTTTTCATTTTCTTTTTCCTTATTTTGCATCAACTTGTTTGACTTTGTGTTTGACCACGTATCTGGTAAGATTGTTGCATTGAATATTTCGATTTGCACAAGTTATATTATATTATTTTGTTAAGACTAGGGTTTTATTTCTTTTTTTTTTTTTTTTAACATCGACGATACAAAGAAATTTCAAATAAATATCATATTAGTTAGTGCGTATCATTTTCGGACATGTCGAGTCAATTTATCCGTAGAACTATTGGAGTTCAAATTAAAGACAAAATTTACATATAATTCACTTATTTAGATAAAATGCTTTAATTTGTACGATTAAAAGTCAAGCACAAGATTTGCAAGTTCATGATAAGCAAAAAAAACCAGCAAGATACCGTGCCTGAGCTATATGAGGTAGAAATTCATCCCATGTACAGCTCAAAGGCCGAGCCTCACACCCCACTCGAAAATGTACAATAGTGATAATATGTAATAAATTAAGCCCCCGTTTGAACCCCATTAATTTTTATTACATTTCATTTTTCTCTCTTATTTTCAACCTCACAATCTTCCATAAAATAATATTACACGTAAATCGAAAATTTTTCTTTCTTTTTCAATCACTCATTTTTCAA